GAGAAGGATATCATGTTTGGTAAAGTGGAGGGTCAGAGAAGAAGAGAAAGAACCCCAATGAGATGGATTGGCCAAGTGGCAGCATCGATGGACTCAAGTGTGGCAACAGTAGTGAGGCTGTCCCAGGATCGGGCAATGTTTCGTTCTGCTGTGCATAAGGTCGCTCTGGGTCAGTACCGACTCGATGGCACCTAACAACAACAATGAGACGAGTCCTGTTGTGGCACTGTGGATTAATGCGCCAGACTACAATGCCGTTTGAACTACAAAACTTGTGGTTCAAGCTCACCAGCTGCTCCTCGGAAACCCTATATAGGGTCGCCATGGGATGGAACCGACTCGACAGCACTTAACAATAACAACAACAAATGAGACTAAGATAAGTGTATTACTGAGAGAACTTGTCTGCAGCCATCCACTGATCCCAGAGACATATTTAAACATGTTTTGTTTGGAATAAACCTGTGCAAAAATGACCTAGACGCCTAGTAGCAATACTTCTGCAAAATGAGAGCGTAAACCAAATGGATACAATTACCTGAGGCTTAAAGTAAGGAGCAGTAGTGAACAAGGTAATTTAACACTGGGGTGCAAACTGAAAGGCTGCCCAGTTTGAACCTACGAGTCACTTCATGGGGGAAAGATGAGGCAGTCTGTTTCCATAGAGATTACATCCTATGGAAACTCTATGGGGGCAGTTCTACTCTATCCTACAGGCTCACTATGAACAGGAATCAACTTAGCAATGGTTTCCTTTCTGGCTTACAGTTACTTAACATGTCAATTTCTGGTCTTTCCATTAACATTTTTTACATGTCTAAAAGCCATTAAAATAGTAATGTTTACAATGTCTCATAGTACCACTAAAAATACAAAATTATTAATTCCTAAACTATAATTTTACCTATAACAGAATGAAGCTGAATAGTAATTAATCTTTACACAATTAAAAAAGAATAAATAGACTATATAGCTAAGATTTTTTTCTTTGTGAGTATAAAACCCAAGATAAAAATCCCTTCTAAAAATATATCATTCATATAATACAACACTTGTGAAGTTCTATTTTATATAAAATTCTTTTTTTTTTCTAGTAGCTAGTCCTCCCTCAATTAAATAAGATTCATTCTTTGTGAAAAACAAAAACCAGAAAACCCATTTCAAATCAACAGATTAAAAATCCCCATGGAAAAATTTCTCTGTCTTCTCTTTGTATCATTAACACTTATTAGTATGTGGGAGATTCCAAATCACATATACAGTTTGGTGCAATGCATGTAAAAGATAATTCTGGAGCTTAAGGCAAACTCTCAAAGAAGACATGAAAGCATCATCAGTTCACATGTGACCCTAACAAAGGCAGATTAGGATCTAACTTCTCCTAAAGCCCTTTCAACCTATAACACCAATATAAGAGAAATTCTCCTGACCTCATTTCTTCTTTATTTCCCTCCTATACATGCAAGAGGTATAATTTTATGCAGTTGCCAAAAGCATTTTGAACATTTTATACTTATAACATTTAAAAAACCACCACCACAACAAAAACCCAGTTATTCAAAAGAACCATCAAAATAGCTTAGGAAATAAAATACTTACTTTGACTACATAATTGAACCTTCGGATATCCTGAATTGCACTTGAAAAGTCTAAGCGATTGAAAGCTTCTCCTAAGGTACAATAGCCATGCCTCTGTAAAAACAAAACAAAACAATAATGAAAGTGTTAAAATTAGTCAATATAATTGACAGTTGAAGGAGCCCTGGTGGCACAGTGGTTAAGATTTTGGCTGCTAACTGAAAGGCTGGTGGGTTTGAACCCATCAACCAATCTATCAAAGAAAGATGTGGCAGTTCGCTTCTGTAAAGATTGGTGGTGGTGGTTATGTGCCATGGAGTTGGTTCGAACTCACAGCAACCCTGTACAGGGTTTCCAACACTGTAAATCTTTACCGGAGTGGAAAGCCTAATCTTTCTCCCACAGAATGGCTGGTCATTTCAAATTGCTGACCTTGAGGTTAGCAGTCAGAATTGTAACCACCAGGGCCTAAAAACCCTAAAAGTGACTCACTGACAATGAGTGGGTTTCTAATTGACAGTTCAATTAATCTGTGCATTTTTTTTTTTTTTTTTAAATCTGGCAAAGGCATTTGTATTTTTCTGAAATTCCATTGCATGCAAAAATTTTTCCTGGAAGATGTGGAAGCAATGATACATAGACAGATTGTGACCAACTATCAATCACAGTTCATATTGCTACTTTCATTTCTTTCTCTGTTCAACATAAAGAGTTCTAAATGTTACACAAACAACTTTTCAAGGTATCTGCCCATCTCACAGTGGCCTCTTCTTTCCTTGGAAATTAAATCTGATTTACAGAGTAGACCACAAATATCATACATGAATGAAATGATTTTGCCTACCTTTATAGGGGGAATAAAACCATACGTGTAAGTAATCTCAGAAGTGGTAAGACAACATATTCTGTCATGTGGATAAGCAGCAGCATCAAGTAAGAGTAATAAATATGCACAATGAGAGGTGGAGAAGAGAACTGGAGCCAGGTGTATCACCTTTTCAGTTCCTAGTTTTGGTACTTTCCTGAAGCCTGGTTATAGTCCTGTTCAGAGGATCCATGTAACATCTCCACACCCTAAAAAGTCCCCATTTTGTTTCTTATACTAGGTTAAATTGTATGTTCTTCATTTAGATCAGTGTGTTAAAATAAAGCAAAAGAAATATTTAACTGTCCTTTATAAACAGCCATTATGTAGAACATATAATTAAGCATCAGTTTCAAAAAATCTTCATCTCTATGAGGGGACTTCAAAAGTTCATCAAAAAATGAAATTAAAAGATAAAAACACGAACTATAAACTTTATTCCTCAACATGTGGTTGTTGTCAAGTGCCGTCGAGTTGATTCCGACCCATAGCGACCACGTATAGGGTTTCCAAGGAGCAGCTGGTGAGCTTGAACCGCCGACCTTGCAGTTCAAATGGCTTTGCAGTCTGGTGCATTAACCCACAGTGCCACACCAGGATTCTGTTCCTCAACCTAAGCTCCATCAAGTTTAAGACATTTTGAAAGTGATGATACCAGTACTAAGTCCAATCCTAAAGAATTTAGGGTCCTGGAAAATTAACCATGTTAACCGTCTTTTTGTAAATTATTAACCGAAGAAAAATGGTTGTTCTTCAGAGATTTTTTTTCTATGATTAGAAAACAAACAAGTCAGAAGGACCCAAATTAGGGCTGTAAGGTGGATATCTGATAATTTACCATAGAAACTCTGGCCAAATTGCTCTTGTCTGATGAGAGGACTGAACATGAGCCTTGTCTTATTAAAAGACTCCTTGGTGAAGCTTTCTCTGGAATTTTTCTGCTAAAGCTTTGGCTAACTTTCTCAAAACACTCTCATCATACGCATATTTTTTTGATTCTTTGACTCTCCAGAAAGGAAACAAACAAAATGTCTTGAACTTCCCTAAAAACTATGGTCATGACTTTTGCTCTTGACTGGTATGCTTTGTTTTGACTGCACCATTTCCACTTCTTGGTAATCATTATTTAAACATTGACTGTGGTTTGTTTTCAGGAACATATTGCTAAAGCTATGTGTCAGCTCCTGCTACAATTCTTCCAAGAAGTGCTTCAGGATCTTATCCCACTTGTTTAAAATTTCCATGAAAAGCTCTACTCTTGTCTATAACTGATCTGGGCACAACAGTTTGGGCACCCATCAATCAGTTTGTGCAACTTTAGTTTTTCAGTCAGAACTACATAAAATAATTTATTTGATATGACATTACATATTCATTCGAAACAAAAGAAAGTACACTCTTAGAATACTTACTTCTCTTGTGCTTTCTTTATGGACATAGATCCATTTTTCACGATAAAAACCTAGAATAAAAATTAACTTTGTTTATAAAGCTTGGTGAATCATTTCAAAATGAAGATTATTTATTATACACTAACAAAATTATCTTACTACAGAGATAGGAGTTACTGTTGTTCAGTTATATATTTGCAGAATTGCTTTGTTTACTAATACTGACTTAAAAGGAGCTTGAAGATCTTTATATGGAAAACTCTCTAATACAATACCAAACCTTAATAAGTGTTATTAATAACTTTAATAAGATCAAAACATAAATGTTATTAAAATTGAATTAAATTATTAATAAGCTCCCAATAATGTTAGGTGCTGTTGAGTCAGCTCCGACTCATAGCAACCCTATGCATAACAGAATGAAGCATATTCCAGTCCTGGGCCATCCTCACAATCATTAGGCTTAAGTCCACTGCTGCTGCCACTGTGTCAATCCATCTCACTGGAGGTCTTCCTTTTTCTCACTGATCCTCCACATTACCAAGCATGATATTCTTTTCTAGGGACTCTTAGGAACCCAATAAAATTTCTGTTCGTCTCTTATATACATATACTCCATATATGTAAGTTTTTAATATAACTCAAACTTGTAGAAAAATTATATAATTATATTCTCCACATGACCCTATCTTTTTAAATAAACCTGCTGCTGTCAAGTTGATTCTGACTCACAGTGACCATAGAGGAACTGCCCTAAAGGATTTTCAAGGCTGAAATCTTGAGGGAAGCAGACTGTCACATCTTTCTCCTGTGGAGTAGATGGATTCAAACTCCCAAATTTTCAATTAACAATCAGACACTTAATAACTACTCCAGTAGGGTTCCTAGCTTCTTAAAATATACTGAGTGTATTCATGCCTTTGAAAAAACTTACTGATTCATGATTTTGCTATAATGCTAAATCCTATTAATATAGGCACTTAATCCCTTTTACATAGGCAACTATAACATATTCCAATCAGTGTTCCTGCTTCCAGGGGTTCTTAAAATCCAGATCCAGCCATGCATCTATCTTCAGTGAATCCTGGATTATCAAGATACCTCACAATTTGGTCTCACTGCTTAGGAGTGAAACACAGAGGCTTTGATGAACTGAATTCATGACTGCTATGTAATCTTTCAGATATACTTTTGTGGGTCTTGCTATTTTATGTTTTGTATAATTACTAGCTTTATTAAATAATCTTACTAAAATGGCTATTTATAAAAAGTCTGGTCACATTATACTGCATAAAATTAGTCAATCACAATCAGAAAAGGAAAAATACTATATGAGACTATTGTAAAAACTCTAGAAAAGGCTTCATGCTATAAGAAACTTTCTTTGATTGTTACCAGGGGTGGGAGGGAAGGGAGAGCAGGGGAGGGCGATGTCTGGCCCATAGATCATACGGTGGTGGTGGTAGTTATGCACCGTGGAGTTGGTTCTGACTCATGGCAACCCTGTACAGGGTTTCCAAGGCTGTAAATCTTTATGGGAACAGAAAGCCTCATCTTTCTCCCATGGAACCACATATTGGGCCTACGAAATCATTTGATCTAGACCTACCATGGCAACCACATACCCAGTCATCACAATTGTTATTGTTGTTGTTAAGTGCTACTGAGTCGGTTCCAACTCATAGCAACTCATAGGATTTCTAAGGAGCAGCTGGTGAGCTTGAATTGCCAACTGTGCAGTTTAAACTGGCCTTGCAGTCCAGCACATTAAACTGCAGAGCCCCACCAGGACTCCAGTCATCACATTGGTTGGTTGGTTATGTGCAATGGAGTTGGTTCTGACTCATAGCGACCCTGTACAGGGTTTCCGAGGCTGTAAATCTTTACGGGAGCAGAGAGCCTCATCTTTCTCCCATGGAACAGCTGGTAGTTTCAAACTGCTGACCTTGTGGTTTGCAGCCTGATTCATAACCACTATGCTAGAGCTCCTTAGTCATCACATTACAGGGGAATTAATAAAATGTTTAACCAAAAAAACTAGCTAACTTTTAAGTTGATAATTTTGCATGGCCTTTGAATGATTTTATAAATTTTGGCAGGAAAAGTTTTTTCACCCCTGAACTAGAGAATGTTGTTCTTGTGAAGTGCCATCGAGTCGGTTCCAACCCATAGTGACCCTGTATAGGGTTTCCGAGGAGCAGCTGGTGAGCTTGAACTGCCGACCTTGCAGTTCAAACGGCTTTGCAGTCTAGCACATTAACTCACAGCACCACACCAGGACTCCAGACTAGAGGATAGACACATGTTAATTTAGATGGTGGGGAGCACAATATACAAGAAGGAGGAGTTTGGCAGAAGAATGATGAAAATAGGTAAAAACACTGAAAGATATATGAGGTTTAAAGGGGATAGACATAAATAGTTTTATTACACATTACTGGAACAACAAAGTTCTGAACATAGATACATGGACAATACACAGGCTGAATGGGTATGGGAAGGAGCGTAAGAGTATACCACATATATATATGAGTGTTTGAAAGAGGATATTTGTACTTTTGCTGCAAATACACCTAAGTGTGAGGTAAAGCATAAGGGGGTAAAATGTTGAAAACTTCTTGTTGTTAGGTGCTTTCAAGTGGATTCCAACTTATAGTGACTCTAAGCATAATAGAATGAAAGCCTTTGCATAGTCAATAAAGCACAGGTAAACATCTTTCTGGTATTTTCTATTTTCAGCCAAGATCCATCTGATATCAACAATGACATCCCTTGCTCCACATCCTCATCTAAAACCAGCTTGAACCTCTGGCAATTCCCTGTCAATGTAATGCTACAGTCATTTTTGAATTATCTTTAAATATTATTTACTTGCATATGATGTTAATGATATTATCTGATGATTTCCATATTCTGTTGGGGCCTTTCTATTTAGAATGGGCACAAATACGAATCTCTTTCAATCAGTTGGCCAGGTAGCTGGCTTACAAATATCTTGGCATAGCTGAATGAGTGTCTCTAGTGCTGCATCAGTTTGTTGAAAGATTTCAATTTATATTCCATCATTTCCCAGATCCTTGTTCTTTGCCAATGCCTTCATTCAGTACACCTTCACTTCTTCCTTCAGTATCACTGGCTCCTGATCATATGCTACCTCTTGAAAAGGTTGAATATTGACCATTTCTTTTTGGTACAGTGACTCTGTATATTCCTACCATCTTCTTTTGATGCTTTCTACATCGTTCAATATTTTGCCCAAATACTGAACGATGAAGAAAAATTACAAGTCAAGGTTTGAATTTTTTCCTCAGTTCTTTCAGCTTGAGAAATGCGGAGTATGCTTTTCTCTTTTGGTTTTCTAACTCCAGATCTTTGCACATTTCATTATAATACATGACTTTGTCTTCTTGAGTTGTTCTTTGAAATTTTCTGTGCAGCTTTTACCTTATCACCTCTTCCATTTGCTTTAGCATCTCTATGCTGGACAGCAAATATCAGAGTCTTGTCTGACATTGATTTTGGTCTTTTCTTTCTTACTTACCTTCTTAATGACCTTTTGCTTTCTTCCTGTATGATGTTCTTGATGTCATTTCACAACTCTTCTGTTCCTTAGTCATTAGTGTTTAATCCATCAAATCTGTTCTTGAGATTATTTCTAAATTCAGGTGGGATATGTTTGTGGTCATTTTTTTACTTTCATGGAATTGTTTTAGTTTTCTTCAGCTTCAGCCTAAACTTGCATATGAGCAACTGATGGTCTGCTTTTACAGTCTTCCCCTGGCCTTGTTTTGACTGATGATATGGAGCTTTTCCACGCTCATTTTTCATAGATGCAGTCAATTTGATATCTGTGTATTCCATCTAGTGAAGTCCATGTGTATAATCGTCTTTTATATTGTTTGAAAATGGTATTTGGAATGAAAAGGTCATTGGTCTTGAAAAATTCTATCATGTGATCTCCAGCATCATTTCTATCACCATCGCCGCATTTCCAACAAGTGATCCTTGCTCTTTGTCGCCAATCTTTGCATTCTAATCACCCGTAATTATCAATACACCTGACTTCATAATTAAAAACTTCTTGGATATTATCAAACATCTTAAGGCAATGAGTTGCTAGGCTTGGGACTCAGGACCAAAGTCTGAGGCAACACTCTGGTCAACTCGCATAGCATAGTTCACAAAGACAATTTCTCTATCCTACTTTGTTTTGTAGCATCTGGTATCTTAAAAGCTCATGAGTGCTATCTAAGGTGTAACTACTATTGGTCTTCCTATATGGAGAAGAAAGAAGAGTTATGAAAATTGAAGATTCATGAAATCAACTATTCCAACAAATGAAGCAGATGAACATCAGTTACCACAACTTTGAGACCAGAAGACCTAGATGGTGCATGGCTACAACCACCGGTTGATCTGAAAGAAATCACATGAGAAAATGTGGAACAAAACTAAAAATTATAAAATAAGAGACTGGGCTTACTAGTCAGAAAGCGACTGGAGGAACCCGAGGCTATGACCCTCGACCACCTTTCAAGCCTGGAATGGCATTTACCCTTGTTGTCCAACTTTCAGTTAATTAGTAAATAGGTATAAAGAGGACAACAACACTAGTAAGGTATGCTCATTATGGAATGGTCATTCATTCATTATCAAAAGAACAACATTTACCTAAGGACAGTGTTGAGAATGGATGTGAAGGAGTGTGGTATAGAAATAGGAACCACAGGGAGGAAATGGGATAACTGCTATTACACAGAAGGGACTGCAATCATTGAGATGAAACAAAATGTATGATTTGTTGAATGTTAAACTTGATGATCTTTTCTTTAAACCTTCACTCAATTCATAGTAAAAAGTAAAAAAAAAAGTATTGTCACTAAATCAGTGGTCATTTAAGTATCTAGATAATCTTTTATTTTATATGATGTATTAATTATCTATATCATCTTTTATTTCACATGATAGCATATTAAAATAATTTTTAGGTCAACATATTCAACAGCTAAAATATAATACAGAATTAGCAATGAAAATTATCTTACATTGAGTATTTGTGTCATTTTTAAAATGATCCTTTTTCCTTTTTTTGGATGTATATTCACACTCTTCATTATTGAATATTTCTTCATCTTCACTATTTAAGATACTGAAATAAAGATACATTTTATTAAAATATTTTTCTGGGAGATCTATATTTGCTTCTCTTTTGTAAGAGAATATAATAAATACTAGATTTACAATTAATTCAGAAGATTAAGATAAAAAATCATGTTAAATTTTATAATAACTTGTTAATTTTCAAAGCCATAAATCATGGGCTTGAAATGACTATATATTTTTAATTTTGATAAATAGATACTTTCCTGGTTCCTTTGAGAATGCCATACCAGGAAGTACTGACTATTTAAAGTCTCTTAGGGATGTTGATATATTTAACCAGGGAAGTTTCAGATATCAAAATACTTTATTAAAACACAGAACGTATAAACAAAACCATAAAAATTCTAGGAAAAAAGTTAGTATGACAATACTATTCCCAGTACTGACTAACGACATGCCATATCATATCCCAGATTCAAAGTTGAAGAAACACTCAATACTTCTATTTATCTATTATACTTTCAAAGATTTAATAATGAAATTATTACTATACTGAGACATTTTCTTATAAAGTATCAATCAAATATAGTGACTGGTAAGGCACTTTTAACCAAAGCCAGATGAAGACAAACATGCATTTTTTACTGTTTAAATACATTTAATTAGACTCTTTAATTTTTATTCTTATTTTCTTTGATGAAATATTTTTTCACTTAGTCGAAAGTTAACTATGTAAAATAGAAATCCTAGATCAACAAAAATAAAAATACGTAAATGTTTTACTTTACACTAATATATAAGATTGTTTTCAATTTGAAAGTAAGGAAGGGGCTCTGTTGAGATAAGCTGGATGGCTTAACGTATATGGAAGTGATGCTCATACCCAAGCAAGTAAAATTACTTTATTTCTCCACCATCATTCTTTGACAAGAAAATTGTTTACAAGCCCCTTTCCACTCACCACTATTCACTTTTAATAAAAACAGCTGAGTCTGCCAAATGAATCTATTTATCATTGTCACAGTAGACTTAAACAGCACTAGCAATAGTTGTAAATCATCAAGACAAGCAAAACTGCATTTAGAAAAGCATATAAACAAACAACATTCAATGACAGGCATTAAATAACACCAATTCATGGAAATTTGTTGATCCTAGTTGAATCTTATATTTAATCAAATAGCATTTTGTTGTCATCGATTCAAATACTTAACATAGAAGCTATGGTACAGTGAGTTGACTGAAAATGTCTTTTGTAGCCACAATCTTTGTGACTCTCACCAAATGATTGGGTGAAAACATGCAAACAGGACGCATGGGACTCTACGGCTGTGACTGGTTAATTTCACCATTCTGCTGGGTTTCAAAGGAGTAACCTAAGAGAAGCAGGAACAGATAATCTCAGGATTATTAAAAAAAGAAGAGACGTGAGGAGAGTGTAAGATCCCTAACTGGAAAAGTGGCACAGCAGAGGTAGTGGCAAAGTAGATGGCATGGGGAGACATAGAAGCCTCAGGTTTCCTGACCCATGGGCCAAGTAAAGCTGAGTGGCTATGGGAAGGAGGTTGTGGGAATGTGCCCTTTCTCACAGACTGGATAAAGGAGCTTTGTAATACCTTCCCAAGCAGGGTATAGGCCAAGGGGTTACATTGCTGAGAGGCAGAAAACAAGAATGAGGCATGTCTGCAGCATGGCAGAGAAAAGGTGTTCGTAACTGTTGCTCCTGAGTTGTTCTGAGCCTGAATTGTACCTGGTTCACTCTTTTAATAAGGTGGTTACGAATCGGGCTGCTAACCGCAAGGTCCGCAGTTCGAAACTACCAGCTGCTCCGTGGGCCAAAGATGAGGCGATCTGCTCCCGTAAAGATTTACAGCCTCGGAAACCCTGTTCAGGGTCGCTATGGGTCGAAACCGACTCGACGGCACTTAACAACAACATAATCATGAATATTGTCTGTGAGTTCTGTGTGGCCATTGCAATGGGTTATCAAAACCAGCAAAGAAGTAAGCATGCTGTGAGAAGGGCAGATAGTGTCAGAATAGGGCAAAGAAGGTTGTAGGGTACAGTCACATCTGACCTCTGCTTTATAGGAATCAACCTTGGGCTGATTTTGAGTTTTATTCCCTTTCCCCCTTGTAAAGCCAAGGGAAATTAGGCATGGCCCCCATGAAATTTTTGCAGAGGCTTTCAAATTTGAAAAGTTTTTCTACTTAAAATCACAAACATCATAGAAAAAGCAAAAAACATCGTCTTCTAGAAACGTTGTTGGTAAATGCTGTTGAGTTAGTTCCAACCCATAGTAACTCTATATAAGGCTTCCAAGGAGCAGCTGATGAGCTTGAACCTACAATCTTGCATTTCAAACTGAGTTTTCAGTCCAGCTCATTAACCCGCAGCACCCACCAGAACTCCCTTTCTAGAAATAGTTTTTGTTCCTTCTTCCTCTGTATTTATCTTGTTTCAATTCTACTGGCACTATTTCTAGGAATTCTAGTTGAATGTGATAGCTAATATACTGGTGTGGTGCTGCAGGACAATACACTGGACTGCAAGGTCAGTTTGAACAACAAGGTCGGCAGTTCAAATCCACCAATCACTCCCTGGAAGCCCTATACAGAGTCATTATGAGTCAGAACTGACTCGACAGCTCTTAACAACAACAAAATATACTTCAGCTACAACTTATTAAAGTGGGAGCAGACAGAAAATAAACATGGATAAACGCCCACTGACACATTTAATAGACTTCAGAGTTTGTCCTTGGTGGGGGTATGTAAGTTTCAGATTCTTACACATTTGAAGGGAGGAAAATGTGTCTTTTCACTCCTGAATAGAACACATGCAGGCTGACTATAGTGACATCACGTTTCTAGTAGATATTATTATAAACTGTTGTTATTCTTGCCTTCATTGGATTCTCCAAAGTAGTGGAAAACTAAGGTTGAATCATGTGGGCAAAGAAGCAATTGCATTGAGCAATGGAGCATTGTTGTGTAGTCAATTCAGACTCATAGCAACAAAGTAGAACTGATACACAGAGTTTTCAAGGTTGTCATCTTTACAGAAGCCGATGAGTGATTGAGTAACCACTGTACCAGGAGGGCTCCTGTTAAGACTCCTATTAAGGCTCTAGACCTTAGACTTTATCACCAAATTTTGGTTTCACAAATGATAAAGAAAAAATGGCTATTTTAAAAGTAATTAATAACTTGTTGTTGTTGTTGTTGCTAGTCAGAACCAACTCATAGCAACCCTATGCATGAGAGAACAAAACACTGCCTGGTCCCACACAACCATTGCTATGTTTGAGACCATTGCTGCAGCCACTGTGCCAATCCATCTTGTTGGGAGTCCCCTCTTTTTCTCTGACCCTCCATTTTATAAACATGATCTCCTTCCCCAGGGACTGGTCCTTCCTGATAATACGTCTGAAGTATGAAAGACAAAGTCTGGACATCCTGGCTTCCAAGGAGTATCCTGGCTGTACTTCTTCCAATACAGATTGTTCTTTTGACAGTCTGTGGTATTTTTAATATTCTCCTCCAACACCAAAACTCAAATGCATCAATTCTTCTATGGCTTTCCTTAGTCACTGTCCAACTTTCACATGCATATAAAGCTACTGAAAATACCATGACTTGAATAAGGCACACCTTAGTCCTCAAACTGACAAGTTTGCTCTTAAATGCTTTAAAGAGGTGGTCTTATACAGCAGATTTGCCTAACACAACACATCGTTTAATTTCTTGATTGTTGCTTCCTTGAGTGTTGACAATCAATCAGAACAAAATTAACTCTGACAATTTCAATCTTTTCTCCATTTGTATGGATATTGTTTATTGGTCCAGTGATGAGGATTTTTGTATTCTTTACATACTTGTTTTTTTTATTTTTTTGTATTCTTTACATTCTTTATACAACCCATATTGAAGGCTGTGCTCTTTGATCTTCATCAGTAGTATTTTTAGTCCTCTTCAATTTCAGCAAGCAAGGTTGTATCATCTGCATATCACAGGTTGTTAATAAGTCTTCCTCATATCCTGATGCCATGATTTTCTTCATATAATCCAGCTTCTGGGATTATGTGCTTAGCATACAGACTGAATAAGTATGGTGAAAGAATACAACCCTGGGGCACACCTTTGCTTATTCTAACCCATTCAGTTCTAACAATTGCCTTTTGGTCTATGTACAGGTTCCTCATAAGCACAATTAAGTGTTCCAGAATACTCATTCTTTACAATGCTGTCTATAGCTTGTCCTGATTCACACAATCAAAAGCCTTTGCATAGTCAATAAAGCACAGGTAAACATCTTTCTGGTGTTCTCTGCTTTCAGTCAAGATCCATATGACATCAGTAATGATATCCCTCATTTCACTTTCTTGTCTGATTTCAGATTGAACCTCTGGTAGTTCTCTGTCAATGTATGTTTGTAATCATTTTTGGATTATCTTTAGCAAAATTTTACTTGTATGAAAAAATTAATGATATTGTCTGCCTTATGCTGGGTCACCTCTCTTTGGGATGGGCATAAATATGGATCTTTTCAACCAGTTGGCAAGGCAGTTGTCTTCCAAATGTCTTGACATAGATGAGTGAGTGCCTCCAGTGCTTCATCAGTTTGTTGAAAGATTTCAATTTGCATTCCATCAATTCCCATACTCTTGTTCGTTTACAATGCCTTCAATGCACTTTGGACTTCTTCCTTCAGTATCACTGGCTCTTGATCCTATGCTTCCTCTTCAAATGGCAGAACATCGACCATTGCTTTCTGGTGCAGTGACTCTGTGTATTCCTTTTATCTTCTTTTGACGCTTCCTCCATCATTCAACATTTTGCCCATAGAATGCTTCAATATTGCACGTCAAGGTTTGAATTTTTTCCTCAGTTCTTTCAGCTTGAGAAATGCTGAGCATGTTTTTCCCTTTTGGTTTTCTAACTCCAGGTCATTGAAAATTTCATTATAATATTTGACTTTGTCTTCTTGAGATACTCTATGAAGCTTTCTATCTAGCTCTTTTACTTCCTCATTTCTTCATATGCT